CTAGAATATGCTTTGCTTGGTTCCCACCCTGCTCACTTGCAGAAGTCTTTATTGAATTATGTGATCAAGAATGAGTCTGCAAGATACCAGCACCCAGCATGGTGCCAAATAGCCTTGCACGAGCAGTTTTGTTCCTGTGAGGTTTATGGTTGTGCTGGGTGGGCCTGGTTCGATGAGCCCTTTCCTTTTTCAAGCCTAGACACTCCAGGATTGGCTAGTAGCCACTAAAGAAAACACAGCTTTTCCTATTTTGCTGCTTCTCCCTGTATAATTCCCCCTCACCCGACTCCATCCCCACCTTCACATAGCAGGAGTCCTAACCTAGCCAAAATGCTAGTTACAATTCAGTTTCATGAGAATGCGGAGGTGAGCTGCTCATTTGTAACTGTCCTCTCCACACACACCCCCACCCCAACACACACCTAGAGAATTTAGGAAAAGGTTCTTATGCCTGGGGATTCCTTTACTTTTATTTTTGTTCCACCCAAAATACCTACAGTGAAATGTGTAGTAGCAGGGCTGGGTCAGGAAAAACTCCTGTGAAAGGTTTCACTCAGTGCTTCTCCTGGAAGATCTAAAAGCAGCCTTACCTTAAGCCCAGCCCCCGTTGCACGCCTGCATTCAAGATGTATGTGCGGTCACTGAGGCTGTTTTCTTTGGGATCCTGTCAGTCTTTATGACACTTGGAATGGTTATGGATTTATCACCCCAAAGAGCAGAGCATCCCTTTTCTTATTTTCCCAGCTGCTGAAAGATAACCCTGTCCGTTAGAATTTAGAATCTGTCATAAGATTAGAGATTCTGAAAACTGGCTAGCTGAGTCTAAATCTGTGATTTGAGAGACATGCATTAAAACAGCCAGCAGAACATTATTCTGATTATCTGCTTACATTCAAAGAAAATAGAATTAGCGCAGTTGAAATCTTCTGACATAATCTGCTGTCGTGGGGATCAAAGTAGTAGGTGTGCTGCTTCAGGCATGGTGTTACTGAAAGTGAACTGGTGTTGGAGAGACATTTCTCTTCCCAGATGTTCCCAAAGGCTGCTTTGGTGATTCACAAAACCCTATACAAATATTCCTTTACCAACAGCAATCCCCACCCCTTTCCCCAACCAAAAAAAAAAACCACCCCATGTATCACAGTCAGTGAAAATATAGGTAACGCTTACCCATGAAATATGCATCAAATATTCCTTTACCAACAGCAATCCCCACCCCTTTCCCCAACCAAAAAAAAAAACCACCCTATGTATCACAGTCAGTGAAAATATAGGTAACGCTTACCCATGAAATATGCATTTTTGGAAGAAAATGTCAGAAGTTAATCTTGTAAGAAACTGGAGTAAAGATGCCCCCATTCTAAGTCGTAATACTGCAGGAGACAGACATACAGACCTCCCGAGTGTTCAGGGCCCGTCCTCACAGTAGCCGATGTTAACTAAGCTCGTACCACATCTGAGCACTTGGCGAGTCACAGGCCCCGTGTGGAACACATCACCTCAAGGACTCTGCCACTTCTTTCCTTGTAGTGGGGTGTTAATCAGAGTGGACCTCATGGGACAGTCTGCCTGTCAGTGCCCTGGCTGAAGTCACTGCACACTACCTGTTCCACTTTCCCAAGGGACAGCGCTGGACAGTCTCACAGGTGCACCGTGCTGTTGCTGTCATCTCTGTGAACTGAGCTCCCTCTGATGCTAGGCCGCGTCCTGATGAGCACTGAGACACCACAGCCCCTGCCCTTAGTCTTCCTCTTGGTCAGTGACGGTGACAGAAGTGCAGTGCACATCTGAGTGCTGGACTAGAACTTGCCAGCATGCCTTGCCTGCTGCTCAGTGAGGGCAGAGAATGCGAAAATCTCTCATGTTCCTGTTTTCTCTCAATTCAGCTCTTGTAGCACTTTTTGATGTCTTACTTTCAGGCATTCCGCTTGTGTGTAGAAGTGTTTTGCCATGCCATCCCCTCCACCTGCTGTTCCCTCCATCATTCACCACTGGGGGGAGGGAGGATGTTGTGGAGATCAGAGGTGCTGGTGTCCTGGTAGTGCATCAGTATCCACCCTGCCCTGGGCCTCCCTGGCTCCTCAGGAGCTTTCACTGGCCAGTAAATAGCAGGTGCATGGAGACAAGTCCAGATCTAGGTTCAGCATAGGAACTTGCTAGTGTCCAGAATTCAGCAAAGGAGTGAGCTGCCTGGGGCAGAGGTCCAGTTCCTGTCCTGCCATGGTTCATGTACAGACCCAGTGACTGCTGGTCAGGGATGCTGAACAGGGACCAAGCTGCCCTGAGGACTCAACAGTCTGTTTCTTCCCTTTCCCCTTTCCTAGCTCTTTTCCTTGCAAAAATAAGTGCTTCTCTTGGGGATTGTTTCTGTCATTGTCTCTTCTATCTGCTCTGTCATGTCATGGTACCCTTGAAGCCCCAGAGAGGGAAGCCACCACAGGAGCACAGCCACAGCTGTGGAGTGGTCCCTACAGGAGAAGCTACAGGGTGACTGGGTAGAATGGCTGGTCCCCATAATGTACATTGTTACATGAGCTAGCTAATGGGGCTTTATTATCCACCCCACTCCCCAGAAAACTTTAATTTGGAGGGAAAAGGGTATGTGTGCCTTTCATTTTGGCACTGGTCCAGATCATGCAGCTCTGGTGGTGGCTGGAGTGCCAATGAGATTTTGGACTGGGAGCCTGCGATTGTCACAGGTGCGTCGCGTGCATGGCAGGGGCAGGTCACAGACTTGTGTGTTGCGTTTCACCCATCCTTTTAGGACCTTTCAGCCTCCCATCACACCAGGTCGAGTCTCAATTTCAGTCTTGTTCTGTGGCTTTGAGCACACAAACCTCCCTCTGTTGCTTTCCTGGAACTAAGGGCCCAGCATAAACTTGGGAGGGTCATCTTTCTGCTCCATCATTCACTGAAGCTACTGAACTGGAACACAGAACGGCCTAGTGCTATGTCACGGGAACAGCAGCCACGATGGTGGCAAGACTTTGAGCTTGTTGGTGCGCTGATCTGGGGGCGGGGTGGGGCGGGCGTGCAACTGAAGCTACTGAACTGGAACACAGAACGGCCTAGTGCTATGTCACGGGAACAGCAGCCACAATGGTGGCAAGACTTTGAGCTTGTTGGTGCGCCGATCTGGGGGCGGGGTGGGGCGGGCGTGCATGGCAGAGCTGGGTGGAGACAGCGAGCCCTGGGCCCCAGGCAGCACTGTTGCTGTTTGCCTTGAGACCACATTTCCCTGTGTTAGAACCAGCGAGCCCTTAACCGTGCATCTCTGAAAGTGGGCACCACACAACTGAAACCAAAGTTCTTGGGGTGGGTGGGGGTGGAGCCTTTTTTTCCCAGCATTGGCATTTCTGGCAGGACTTCTTCTGGCTGCAGTGTGGTTTTGCCAGAACACCACTCTCTGAAGGCCTCTTTTCCTAGTAGTTTCTGCACATTGGCCCTATAAAGCCAGGCCGTGCGGCCTACCCTTCCCTGGCCCTGTGGCAGGTCTCTTGAGCAGGCATGCGGGCCTCCCACACCTGCCATTGCCCAGGTCACTCCTTGGTGGGCTGCAGAGTTTCACCGAGAAAGGCCACTGCTGGGCTGAGGCCGTGGCCCAAGAGCCATCACATTCACTGGTTTCTTCAGACCCACCCTGGCTGCAAGGACACTGTCCCTGCAGAAAGATGCCAAGAACATCGTATTTGCCTCCCCTGGAAGAGCCCACAGCCTTCTCTGATTTCCCCCTGGGCTCGCCCTCCCTTCCACAGTCATGGTCATGTTGGGTATGCAGTACCTTTCCAGGATAAAGTTTTATTTATGTTTTTTAAGTGCCTAAGCAAGTTACAGACCTCTGGAACCTGCCAGAGAGTCAGCCTGTGCCCTGTCCCTGTCCTTCCCCACCCTGCACCTGGCCGGCTGCCCCTCTCCAGCATCCCTGGTGTTCTGCAGGCAGAACAACTGACAGGGCAAGCAGGTGGGAGTGACCTTCACAGCCACGTTGGCTGCTTTGTCACTGTCCTCCTGTGTTTCTTCTGCAGGGCTATTTCTGTTCATATGCTCAGTGGTTGTAGTCTCTGTTCACAGAGGATTTTAAGGAGTCTGCTTAGCTAAATCTCAGTAGACACCGAGCAAAGGGACAGGAGAGCAAGACAGCCTCAGAGCAGAATTCCACATCTGTCTTTGTCAGCAGTTGGAAGATGCATCTAGATCCAGGAGGGCAGAGCATCAAATAATCATAGTTGCCAAGCACGCTGACTTCCTTGCACTCACGAGTCCCTGGGACCCTGGCTGCATCTCTGTGTCCTCTCCCTAGATTGGAGGGACTTGGGTGTCCACTCACAAGGGCTCAGGAAGGCTGTCATCGGTAGGGTATTAAGCAAAAGTGCATCTTTGAGAAAGAGTGTGAGATTGCTTATTTTTTAAAGTAATTTAAGTCTGACCTAAATATGGGGCCTTTATTACATGGTCGGTGTACGACAGATTATTTTGTGGCTGCAGTCTGTTCGTTTCACATCAGTAAGCAGCACTCAGATTATTTGTTGGTGCATCAAAAGGTTTTGCAAAATAGAACAATCCATTCCCAGGCACTTTATTTTCATTAATGATCCAGCATTTTTGTTCAGACAAGGTAATAACCCAAACACTGGGCACTCACGTGTGCCATGTGTGGGCACGTTTGCCAGTGGAGCTCTGACTTGGAGAGACAGGGGAGGAAGTCACTGATGCAGTGAGCAGCAGTGGGACACTGCTGTGGGACAAGGAGGAGGGCTTTCTGGAGCACGTGCACCAAACCGGACTCGGCAGTACACGCCACTCAGTTCTCCAGATGTGAGTTTTTACAGATTTACACGTGCTTGTCAGTCACCCTCTTCTGACTGAGAAGAGTGAATGTAGGAGTGCATTGCTGGGGGAACAGGGTGAGATGCAGTTCGAGGCACCTGAGAGCCTCGTGCCTTCTCCTTTACCTGGACTTGAGGCCTCAGCAGCAACAGAGTGCTGAGCCCTGACCTCTGGTTCTGAATAACATGCAGCCTGGTTCTCCTCTTCCTGGCAGGGGTGGAACTAGCTGGTGCAGCCCATTATAAAGTGAGAAGTGAGTTAAACAGCTGTAGTCTGATCAGACACCTGGACCAGATGCCTTGGGATTGCCTCAAGTATTTAGCATCCACCAAATAGTCACGTGTCTAAGATGGGCTGTGCAGGATCCCCGCCAGAGGGGCTTGGGGGCAGAGCACCCTCCCTGCCTTGGCCGTTGTGTGTCTTAGTCTGTGTGTTTCCCTTTGGCGTTTCCTTTGGTCTCTGTCCCCCATCTTGTGCACCATGTGTCCCTGAGGGCGAGTCACACCTGTGTCTGAGTCTGCTGTAAGGTGTTCAGTCTACCTCAAGGGGCCACCATGGTAAATTCTGTCCACATGGAATCCTTCTTACATTGCCACACACACTGGAATGTATACCCATCCCCACCCACCCTGCCCGCCCCACCCCTCCTGACTCCATCTTTCCTGTAATCACCACCAACTCCTAGTGCAAATTGGATGCTGCTTTAAATGTGAAAACAGTTGTTCAAAAGCTATAAAACCTGAATGAAAGCTAAAGCTGAATTTATAAGCCTTGTTGCATATGAGCCAAAAGTGCAAAAAGCTCTATATAATGAACTAACCTGCCACTCATATAAATATAAATATATATAAATATATTAAAATCAGACTGTTCTACAAAATTGTGTATTTGTATTTTTGTGTACGTACAATTTTCTGCTAAGCAGAAGGAGGATGTAGTATAGGATGCTGTGAGAAGAGACTTGGTTTAATCCTATTTCTTTGTTACTTATTTTTGTTAACATAAGATGCCTGTCTTGTCTTATATGTGTATGACGCTGTTTGGAAAGCTGCAGTATCTCTCTTCCTTAGTCCAGAGCCCCTTACAGAATGAGATCTGGGGTTTAGAGCATTGTCTGGGCTGCCGAACACGGACAAGTGAACAGAGCCGGAGCCTTGTGGTAGAGTCGGGAGCTGCTTATGGTCCTGAGGTGGGGGAAGGGAGGGGAGTGGTGGGCCCACTCCAGGCCAGTCACTGCCTCGAACACGGACAAGTGAACAGAGCCGGAGCCTTGTGGTAGAGTCGGGAGCTGCTTATGGTCCGGAGGTGGGGGAAGGGAGGGGAGTGGTGGGCCCACTCCAGGCCAGTCACTGCCTTTTGACTTCCCTCTGGGGAAGGGAAATTCCACTTGTAGAAATCAGCTTCTAAAATAAAAGATGATCAGATGTCTAATATAGACCCTCCACTGGGCCCACTAGGAAGGGACACAGAGTATCTCAGAACTTAAGAACAGGACCTCTTATTTCTGGGCCAAAAGTGTGCCCGGAAAGTAGCAGGCAGCTCTGCCTGGCACAGGGCTGGCTCCCTGGCTGTGCCTGGGCTCTGCTTCCCTCCAGAGTAGTTGCTGCCTTTTTTCAGATCAGGTGACCAAAACACCTCCCCTGTGCTGAGCTGCTGACCCTCATCACCCAGACCTCCAGCCCGTGACCCGAAGCACCTCAGAACCCACTTTGCCGGTGCTAACATACAAGAGGGAATTAGGGTGGCTGCCAGCCATGGCCAGAAAGCAGTCACCTGGTAGCCAGGCCAGAAGACAAGCTCCAGGTACCCAGGCCCATCACCTCCCAGCCCCACGGGGGTCCCTCTTGACTCGAGCCTTCTCTAGGGAGAGGGATACTGCACCTTCACCTGTAGGACTCATATTTATAACAATGTGTAATGACTGTAGCAAAAAGCCCTTGTTTCTAGATGTAAATGGTCAAAGAAACAAGAGCTCTATTGTATTGATTAAAATAGTTCAAATGAGTCCTGTATCATCGTATCTCCTATTCTGGATTAGTGCCTTTTGGACAGTAGACTGTTCTGTAATTAAAATGTAGTATACTGCTTTTTTGTACAGTTTTGTTTTAATAAAACTTTTTTTTAATTTGTGTTTATTTTAGTATTGTACCTATTAGAGAATAAAACGTATAACTGAACAAAGACTGGCTGCGATTCTTTGGATCAGACAGTCGTTCGGGAAGTGCCAGACACTAACAAAGGGATGGAGTGATCTGGTTTCAAACTTGGGCCCTTTGTGCTTTTGAAAAGGATTGGGGAGCCCAGAGGGCAGAGATGCATGAGAAGGATCGCGTGGGCAGCTGAACACTGCCTGGTAAGGGAGGGACACCCAACTCAGGAGAGCCCTGCATTGCACCTCCCAGCCCTCCAGCCTGTGCCGTGTGGGGGCTGCCTGGACACCAGGAGCCCCCAATCCCTCAAACTACCCCTCCCCTTACCGTGGACGTGAGGACCTGGCCGCCCTGCATCCCTGAGGAGCCTAGCAGTTTCCCTGCCCACTGGGAACACAACTCATGTCCACACAGCCTCACCTGCCCATTCCAGGCAGCACCCTGAGCCTTGCATTCTTAAAAGAGCGGTCTCTCCTGGGGTCACCTTTAGCAGCAAAAAACGAAAAAAGCTGAAGCTTTGTTGTTTGGTTTTCTTTAAAGGCTTCCTTCCAGTGGTTGGCGTCAAATTCTTAAGCAAGACTTACAAAGTGCCCAAGCTTCCCTCTCACATCAGTAGTGAAAACCTAAGAAGTAAATCATCTTTTTTCTCACCTCAAAATACATAATTAGAAAAACTATGCAAAATTTTAAGCTGTCCCAAATCCTATCAACCTTGCGTAGTAGAGGCAGGTAGGACAGGTGGTGGCAGGAGCAGGGCCCAATACTGAGGACCATACTGCCCCACACTCCTCTAACCGCCCCCAATTGCTACTTCTGCCCGAGCAGAAGCCCACTGTGCCTTCAGTGCCACAGCCCGCTTGCCCTGCGCCACCTGCACGGAGCCTCCCGGGTGCCACCTGCACGGAGCCTGCCAGGGTAGCCTGCTCCTGCTGTGCTGTCACTCCACAAGGCCAGGCCAGGCATGCAAAGCTCCTTGAGTGACCCAATGAGCGAGTGAGAGAATGAGCCTTCTGAATGTGACATCTACTAGAGCCCACTTCAGGGTCTGGGCAACTGTAAAAACCCCACAGCCTTATACAGACAAAGGACACCTCATTGAATTGCAAGAGAGTAGCAGCTTGAAAAATAAGATTTATCCTGGGAGCTAGATCAACTCCACATTCAGATTCCTGCCTCATTCAGAGCAGAGCAGTGCCTTGGCTGCCAAATTCCTGTCATTATCTGGCAGTGCTTATCTCTGAGAACTCTTCTCCACTTATGGATATAAACAAGTCCTGCTAAGATGTGCTCTGATGGACGGCCACCTCCCATCAGCCTCTGAGTGGCTGCAGCCCCTCATTTGCAAGCGTACTTTACATCAGACAAAAGGTGAGCAAGTCTGTGTCCCTGTGGGGAGCACCCTGGCCACCGTGGCCCTCCCTGAGCTGGGCTGTGACCCCCAAGACGGGGGCTCCACAGGCCTACAAAGGCACCCTGGGCGGCTTTCCCGCTCAGAGGCTGGACCCACCATCCTCACTACCATTCCAGACCCACACTGGGCACTCAGCTAGATGGGTGTCTGCGGGAGGCTGACCTCTCCGACTAGCAGGGCCCAGCAAAACTACCATCGGGCTCCACAGCCCACCAGGATTGGACCTGGCCCTGCCAGCCGGCCACAGCCATAAGCCTCCTCCCTTCCTGAAACATGTTGTTTCAGAACCTCCCAGGATCTACCCACCTCTGCAGCAGTGGGAAGCTGCCCTCTGCTCCCCATTTTGGGGCAGGGGGTGGCCCAGTGTGGGGTCTATGGTGTAGGTCAAGGCAGACGGTGGAGCTGAGCTGGGGCGGCCCTTCCCAGGCCAACTGTCACCTGGCTAGCCCAGAAGCTCTACTATCTTGGCTCTAAGCCCCCAGAATACTTCTATTGGGACTGAAGTCTAAATGGGGGACGGAAGACTGGCCAAGGAGCCAGTGAGGCCTCCCTGGGTTCTTTAGTACAAATCACGAGCAGTTCATGCTGGTGGCTCATGGTTGGGAGGTAAGCGCCAGGGGGTCCTGCTGCTGTTCCCTGAACCTCCCTCTTCTGGTCTCAATCTCATAAAGGCCACCACTGCGGAGAACAAGTCCATGCCATGCGGGGACAGTGCAATGAGCCCGTGTCAGGTGGGGGAGGGAAAAGCAACAAGACCCACCTCAGACATGAGCAGGAATCGTCTGCTTTATTGAGAAGCTGTTGGTCATTGGATGGAAAGGCACATATGGTACAAAATTACAGTGGTTTTAGTTCATTACACAGCACAAGTCATTAAAGTCTTTACAATTCACTACAGAGCCTTTGGATTTTTTTTAACTCCCATTTAATGTTACCAAATCAATATAATCCCCAAATCAATATAATCCCCGAATCAAAGCCACTCTTTATATGTGGACCCATCCTATTTACAAAAATCCACACACAGAGATGTTCCCAGACTCCAACCCGAATCAAAGCCACTCTTTATATGTGGACCCATCCTATTTACAAAAATCCACACACAGAGAAGATGTTCCCAGACTCCAATACTGTGAGTGCCAGCAGCCCACCATGAAGGCACCATGGACTTGAGAGAAAGACGCTTTTGGGCACAAACGCGTCCGTATCCCCGGAGGTAAGGCACTACACATGGGGACTTCCCCTCTGGGGCGGCCCTGGAGCCTACCGCACCATGAGGATCTGACGCTTTGCACACACGTGCACACAGGCAGGCTTCGGGCAAGCAGGGAGAATCTTGGCAAGGAAAATAAAGAGCCACGAACTTCTTGTCTGTTTCACATATAGGGAACTTTAAGCCAAGAGGAGAAAACACCTGGAAGAAATGGGGGATCTAAACACCTTCAAAGCCTCTCAGACTGCAGTGGTCACGTTCACAGTCGGTTCTCCCATTGAACACACACAGGCCCTACTTGGTGGGCCCAGAAATACCACTCGCTCCTCATCTGTGCCCTCCTGCTCCCCTGGTCAGGCCTGGGCACCTGGGACCCTGGTTACACTTCCTCCACCTGCCCCTCCACTGCCCAACACAGTTCCCAAGGGTAGAAATGGGCCTCTCATCTGTGCCCTCCTGCTCCCCTGGTCAGGCCTGGGCACCTGGGACCCTGGTTACACTTCCGCCACCTGCCCCTCCACTGCCCAACACAGTTCCCAAGGGTAGAAATGGGCCTTTCCCCCCAGTAGCCTCTGTCCTTAACAACTGCCTGAGGACCATGTGGGAGGTTGCGGGGTGGGCGGCAATGGCCCTGGGTGTGCACAGTGTCCCTGCCCTGTTTCTGTAGGGTCTGCATGTCCTGACTCACACTGATGACACCTCTGGTCCCATGTCCGAGCTGCCTACCAGATCCCAGAGCCTGGAGCCCTCGGAACAGTGCAGAGAGTGCTAATGCTGACATGTTATTTGAATTAGGTCTGATTATTAGAACGGGAACAGGAGAGACTGAGGAAACGAGCCTCCCACTTTGCTCCCGAGACTGCACCTGCTGCTCAGTTGCTGTGGGGCCGTGGCACCGGCAGGGCTTGGTAGCTCAGCAACCACGTCTGCTGAATGCCACTGCTTTGCCAGCCACAAGTTGCTGGTCTGCACCAATAGCTACAAAGGTGAGATGGAGCAGGCCCCATTCTAAAACCCACTACTGGTCATCGAGGAGAGAGGTGGCTGGAATAGACCTGAGTGGCCCAGGAAGGCAGTGGATGGTGACAGTGCTGCTGTGAGCAGCCTCTCGCCAGCCCACAGGGACATGCAGGTCGGCATGCAGGAAGAACACATGGCCCACCATGCTGTTCTGCCAGAGGCTGCCTCATCCTCCTCGTGGGTCAGAGCGGATGGGGACACCGGAGCATATGGTCCAGCCTCTCATGGTCCAGAGCGGGTCCTCATCAGCTGCAGGAGCCGCTCCCCAAGAACACTACCAGGACCAACTTCTAACACGCCACCAAGTGCCTCTCGCACACCGTGCCAATGCCTCGCCCTGCAGGCACGGCTGGAGCCAGGAGCACAGCCACCGCCAGCTTCAGCTCTGGCACGAGGTCCAGGGCTCGCCTTGAGCAGAGCTGAGCAGCGAGGCTGCCTGAGCGGTGCAGCCTGGAGACAGGTGTAGGCGGGCTTGAGAGAGGTGATCGAGACTCCTGCACCGCTCCTGCGAGCTCCTGCAAACAAGATCTGCTCTGGTCATAGCTCTGGTACATTCCATCCATGCTGAATCAAACCAAATGGTAACGAGAGCGCAGCAGCTGCAGCCCCAGTGGATTTTCCCGAGACGATCCCATGGAAGGCTGCTGACATCCTGTGACTGGGTGGATGGGCTCCAGCAAGTGCATTGCCAGGTGCACAGAGTCACAGACACCCCAGAGCCCGCACTTCCCAGCACCTCACCTCCTCCATACAGCCTGCTCACTGGAGGCAGGTCACCAACACGCAGAGGAACAGATGGCGCTGGCCACCACACCAACAGGCCACACTGATGACAGGGGACACAGAGAAAAAGAAAACTTCTGTGCAGGGAAGGAGGCTAAGTGACAAAGCAGAGCAGCACAAGCAGCACTTCATTCATTGACACGGGCCGGCAGGTTCCTCCCAAACCACCAGCTGAAGACAGGAAGGAACACCGTGCAGGGCTGCCCACACAGCTGGCTGTCCCAGGGCAGGACGAGGCGGGTTGCTCCCTGCAGAACAGCCAGCAGCCCACACCCCCCGTGTCCGGCCGCTGCTGCCGGGAAAAACAGAAAGACACCTGCCTGTCACAGGGGTGCTGTGCGGGCAGGGGGAGGACGCCGATGGTTGGGAGCTCCTCCAGGGTGACGGCCCCGTCCTCATGGCTGCCCAGGACCACCTTTCATGGGTGCTGGATGAGCCAGTGGTCCTGAGAGCCCACTCGGTAAACTGATCAACCCAAGAGCTTCTCCAGCCTCCGGGTGCTATCTGCTTGCTGGGGGGAAGAGGCCGCCAGTGGCCGGGAGGTGGCCGTGGGATCCTGAGGAGCCAGTGAACAGGTGGTCCCATCTAGGGAAGGGAGCCCGGTGCTACTTCTCATGAGGGGCTTCAAATCCCCAGAGATCCAGAGATTCTCCACAAAAGCTTTCTAGATGTTCTTAAAAGTTGAAATGCAAGAACTAAACACAGGCTGCCCAGCAAGCCCCGTGCAAGTGCTGACCCCGGGCTTGTGCCCAGAGCTGTGGGGCAGCAGGGCCTGGGAGCATCAGGCTGTGTCCTCTGCCTGCTCCCGCTGCCCCACCCCAGTGCTGGCCCCAGGGGCTCCACCACCAGAGGTGCCCGGCGCAGGTGGGGAAGACCCGGGGTTGCTCAGCTGCCCAGCAGCGCTGGGGCTTAGGAACTGCCAAGAAAAAACGGTCAGAAGGGCCTCCCAGAAACCAAAATTGCACCCCAGAAGAGGTAATGCCCTGGCTTTGTCTCTGACTCCACGAGCACAACGACGTCACCTCCTGGTCTCTGCTGCCATCTTAGGTAGCGTAAGACCACTTGTGGTCTGCAATAAAGGAACCACGGAGGGGCCTCTTCCCCTGGCTGCCCCCGCCCCAGGGTGGGAGAGGCCTGCGGTGAGCAAGGCAAGAGCCGGGCAGACGACGATTGTGCTCGCGAATGATTTGGGATTTTTAAAAATAAATATAAATAAATATATCCCTAGCATTCTGCTAAGGGAATATATGGCAAACAGAAGACTTTCCAGGTGCAGAGATGCTAAAACACCTGCACAGGAACCGCTAAGAAACCCCGTGGAGAGCAGCGGGT